GGTCCTTTTGTTCCTTAAAATCAGATTATGAGTTGGAAGGGACCTGTAGGTCATCTAGTCCAACCCTCCCTGCCCTCAAATACTGGAAGGCTGCTCTCCTGCCTCCCCTGGTCCTTTTGTTCCTTAAAATCAGATTATGAGTTGGAAGGGACCTTGTAGGTCATCTAGTCCAACCCTCCCTGCCCTCAAATACTGGAAGGCTGCTCTCCTGTCTCCCCCGGTCCTTTTGTTCCTTAAAATCAGATTATGAGTTGGAAGGGACCTTGTAGGTCATCTAGTCCAACCCCCTTCTCCCCTCAAATATTGGAAGGCTGCTCTCCTGCTTCCCCTGGACCTTTTGTTCCTTAAAAATCAGAATGAAAGTCCTTAAACTTTGTCCTCAGCTCTTTACTTAAACGAGTCCTGGCTCATTCATTCCCCCGTTCGATCTCAATTGCTCCGCGACGGCCATTTTGAGGTGGGGGGGGGTGTAGGATCTTCCAACTCCCCGAAAAACTCTTAGTAGTTGTCTCCTCCCTCCCTCCCTCCCTCCCTCCCTCCCCCAGTTCTTCCCCAACGGGAACGCCTTCACCACGGGTTCCGACGACGCCACCTGCCGCCTCTTCGACCTGCGCGCCGACCAGGAGCTGATGCTCTACTCGCACGACAACATCATTTGCGGCATCACCTCGGTCGCCTTCTCCCGCAGCGGCCGCCTCCTCTTGGCCGGCTACGACGACTTCAACTGCAACATTTGGGACTCCATGAAGGGCGACCGGGCAGGTGAGTGGCCGGCAGGAGCACACACCCCCCCCCTCAAATGAAAAAAAAACCCCAAAAAGTCTTCCCAGGAACAACCTTTGACTGTAAGAAAATTCAGTCCAAAACAAGGTCAACACAAACGGTAACTTAAAAAGTCCAAACAAACCAGGCTTGAAAGCAAACACAGTTGGGAAGATGCCGGGAGCACAAAATAAGCTTCGCCGATAACCGGTAACTCACAATTTGCTTTCGACGACTTGCTTGCGCGCCGCTTCCCTCTTTTCTACGCTCTGTTCCCAGGTTGCAGCTCAGGAAGGGAATCAGGGCCCTTTCCTCTCCCCCGTAAGCCAGTCAACCCCCCTTGCTCCCTTCTCCATTCCTCCCTGCGTGCCTTTAGGATGGGCCGAATTCCTTCTCCCTTGTTGTACCTCTGTTGTACCTTCTCCCTTGTTGTACCTCCTCCTCTGCCCCGCCGGTTCTTTGCTCTTCCCCGGTTTCCTCCGCACCCAACGGAGCCGCACTCCCCGCTACTCGGCCTCCCGCTCTGAATCCGATTCCCACAGGGACGTGACAGGTCACTTCACCGGAAGCCCAACCGCGTTCAATTCTGGAGCCGGTCGGAAGTCCGATTCCCCACCCTCCTCGCGCGCCGTCCTTTTTTCCTCTACCGAAAGCGGCCCCCGCAGGCTTATGCAGGCCGAAGAATTAGGCCCGTTTCGTCCTTTCCTGAAAAAAAAATAGGCCCGTTTCGTCACTTCCCGTTTTTTGTGTGCAGCGGGGAGGGGCGGGGGTGTCCGTCTGGGCCCGTCGGGGGAGGATGTCATGCCCCTGTCGGAGTCGAATTTGACGGGAATTTCCTAAATCCAGCTACCCGCTTGCGGCGCCACCTCGTGGTCAAGTGGTGACTTTCACGGGAGTTTCCCTAAACTCAGCTGCCCGCTCGCAGCACCCCCTTGTGGTCGAGTAGTGAATTTCAAAGGAGATTCCTACATTCAGGAAGCCCTTGCAGCGCAGCGCCCGGGTCAAGTCGCGAATTTCATCGGAGTGTCCTAAATTCAGCTACCCCCGCTTGCGACGCACCCAAGAGGCCAACCTGTGTACTGCAGCGGCGGCGTCCAGACCTTGC